CTTTTGACTTTTTTCTCATTCGAATTTTGTCCTTTTTGACTCTTTGTATTTGTCCTTTTTCGATTCACCCTTTATCGTTGTCGAATTGTATCCTTTGCCACCCTTGTCGTCAGGCTCTTTTTTGTCGAATCGTTTCCACGTACCTCTTCTCATTAAACTTTTCCCCGGTAACCGGGTGACATATCCTCGGCGGCAAAAAAATATGCTTTATCAATGCAAAGCTCCATCCACGCATGCTCCTCTGCTCCAGACCTGTATAACTGACGCCGGACCTGGTCTCCAGGGAGGAGGTAGCCGGGCCAGACCGGACACCGGCCACACGTGAGCACGGTGCTGCCGGCCCCATCCCAGAGCAGGCCTCTCAAGCCAGAGGAGTGGCCAAGAGAATGCCTGCGGGAGGCGGAGTCCGAGGTACGGCTCGAGGAGCTGGGAGAGGAGCTGCGGGACGACAAGCCATGAACCCTGTGCGTGGATCTGCCAGTGAGAAGGACACGGGGGCAATCAGGAGGAAGTCCTCAGAAAAGATTAGAGGAGGTGACAGAAGAGCGTCCAGCGAGTCATCGAAGGACTCGTCCATAGGATCCGCAAAAGGGTCCTCCAGACGCTCGTCCAGAGGCTCGTCCAAAGGCTCTTCAGTCGATACTTCTGGGACTTCTCACCGTGGTAGAAAAGGCCAGCAACACTCGCCGGCGGATCTACCTGCCAGCGTGGGCTCTATCAAGGGCGAAGACCTCATCCCGAGATCGTGAGTACTCTAAGGGATGTGGGAAATATCGGTCGTGAAAATCATCAATGCGTAATGCGAACTGTAAGCAAGGAAATCGAAGCGACGAGTCCCTGATTAGCTAGCAATCATTTTGGATTAGTACGATAGCTTTCATGATGTGAAACAGATATGATTGCAGTGCCATTTGACAGCTTTGACTCATTGGTTCCGCAAAGTATGTCTCTCACAAACACTTCAGAACGAGTGATGTAAACGACATATCTTAACGAAAGAAACCAATGTAAACCAGAAGCCGTGCTCAGTGTGTTGCTTGGCTGTGGGCTCCTCACCAATGGGCAGCTCACAGAGCGTTCAGTAGGTTATGTGCAGCGAATGTAAAAGCACTGTCACGAGGGGAACTGTGCAAAGTCTGATATCAGGCTGGAGAGTAGTCGGCCCCGTCATGGATGCAGGCCGGAGGGCGTGGGCCCCACCTGCCCGCGTCATCAGCGGGTGGGCCTGGAATGGGTTACCTGTCTGGCGATCCGCGCTCCTCTTCATTTTGAAGCGCCCGTGACCGCACCACAGCGCAGCGGTGGCGTGTTGGCTCCTCCCACGGAGCCTGCTTGCCCGCAGGTCGCCAGTCAACCGACTTGGAGAGATGGACCCTCCCCGGGACCCTGCAACCATTCCGGGCCTGCTGCCACGCGCCGAGCGGCCGCGGCCCGCAGCGGCCGGCCGCCCCCCGCTGGATGAGCGGCAGGGGGAGGCTTCGAATTCCGCTCGAGCACGGGTCAGCAGCCTTGGTGATGCCAACGTCGAAGCGATCGAAGATTTGCCCCGCGCTGAGGCGGACCCAGACGGCGGAGGTCGGACCGAGAGCGCGAGCTGTACTATCGCCTCAAGGTCAGAACCTCGGGCGGGGAGACGCTTGTATCAAATGTATTCATGACGTTCTCGGTAGCATTTTGGTATTCCCGAAAGTCTTTCTGAAAGGTGTGAAAACATAACCATGTGATCAGTACAACATAACTGTGCCACCCCAACATACCCTGGCCCTTCATCGAGGCTGTTCTGTTCCCCGGATATTTTTTTCTGAGACGACACATTCGTACAGAAGTTTCTCATTCAACATTTTTCTAGCCGCTGAACTACAAGGCTCGAGCCTGAAAAGGTCCGGAAAAAGTGACTGCAGGTAATGTTCTTTCCATTTTATTTCATCCAACGGCTCCACAGATATTCAGAGCGAATTGCTCTAGTTTACGTCCCAGGCGTGATAGCGCTTTGAACACTGGCTTTGTCTCACGATGAATTAGACACGATGAGCAACGACGGTGAGTCATATTTTTTATGGGGAGGGGGTGGGTAGCAACTTGTTAGGGGTCCTTCAAGAGGCGTGGGCTCCCTCTGACGGCGATTGGACTCATACCAACAGCAAAATCTGTCGGTGGCATTAATTATCGACACTGTTGCTCTGGCGCGCCTGCAGCATGGCGTCAGCTGCGGGAGTCAGCGCCAGTTGGTGTCGCGCTTCTTGCAACCCAAATCCGTTCTCTAGATTGTAAGTGTGCGTCCTCAAGACAGTTTTCGTGAATCGATTAACTCCTGTTAATAATTTCCGCATCGTCAATGCGATCAGGAACGTGAATGGCATGACCTTTACAAACATGTCTTACGTAGGCCACGAGCTCTTCGGCCGAGGGCTTGGAAAAATTGGCAAGTCGGGCAGAAGATTATAAACTTAGCTACCGAAAAAATCTGCATGACACATGCATGCTGCGAAGTCATTTAAGTAAAGACTCCAAAGGAAGGGAGCAGTCCCGTTGAAGGGCCAGGGTCAACAACACGCATTTTATGTTCATATTGACATGGCCGTGTGATGACGTCTGACCGATGCTATTTCAGTGGTTCGTTAGAATTCGGAGAGGTAGCTATGAAGCTGATAGCAGATATGGCGAAATTCTCCAACGTCTCCGTCGAGGACATGCTGCGCAAGGTTGCAACAGCCGCTACCTCTTCTGGTGCTGACGCCGATGCCGTCACTGACACTGCTACTGATCCTGTCATTGCTGCCACCAGTCCGTCTGAGGTGACCACCGCTACCGCTGCTTCTGCCGCAGCTCCAGCCACCATCTGCGCAGCAGTGGCTTCTACAGCTACTGCTGCAGAGGTCTCCAGCCTCTGGATGAATGTTTCCTGTCATGAAGCTCTGTGTTTTTCATCCGATTGTGGACATATGTGGAGTTCACGCCGACTCCCCCCCCCCTTACATCTACCTTCTTTCCGCGATGCATGCAATGTTCATGAGGCAGTGTTGGCAACGGCTCTTCAGTGTTCCATTTGGTGTTACTAACTGGTTACCAAACGAGCTTAGTAACAAGCTCGGCGTGATGTGATCAAGAACTTACTAACAAGCTTCGAGTAATACGATCAATAGCTTAGTGACAAGCTCAGTGCGATGCGATCAATAGCTTAGTGACAAGCTCGGCACGATGCGATCAATAGCTTAGTGACAAGCTCCGCACGATGCGATCAATAGCTTAGAAACAAGCCCGGCGCTATGCGATCAATAGCTTAGTAACAAGCTCAGCGCGATGCGACCAATTGCGGTTTTACGCTGTGTTTGGTTGTTCAGATGGCCGCGGCTGCTGAGACTGCAGTTGCTGCTGAGACAGCCGCGTCTGGCCGCTCCAGTACGCCGCCTATGCTGGAGGTGCACTCGGAGCCGCAGCCGGGTAAGACCCTTACTCATTGGCTCAAAATGTCGGACATGCACAAAAGTGCATTGCCATAAATTTCAATGTATTTTACCGCCACTGCTACCGCTAACAATATCCTTCAGGTAATGATCCATAATGATGCCGTTGGATGACGTATTTTGAAACCCGATTCACTTTCTTGTTCCGCGACCTGAGTTCAGTTTGTGTACCCGAGGTGTCGGCTCTCAGACTAATTTGTGTCCCAAGTCGGTCAGCAAAGTGGTGAAACAGATGATGTCCTGGGGCGTGATGCCCGAGTGGTTAGCGGCTTCGGCTCCCACGTGGGGCCTGAGTTTGACCTTCGAACCCCGGTCAGGCCATATCCCCTGAGCCGCCATAGCTTATGCAGTCGCCCACGCTCCATAAAGGGTTGGGCGAAACATGTGTCACGGAATATTGAAAAGCAGACAAAAGTCAAAATAATTCACAAGTTGAATGAACTCGCACGTCCGGTATCGCCGCCGCTGCCGAAGGGGTCACCGTCGTCGGCGTCCCTGCTCCTGCCGGCCCCCCTCCCGCAGCTGAAGCTACTGCCGGTGCTGCTCCCGCTGCCGAAGCTGCTGTCTGTGCCGCTGTCGGCGCAATGGCCGAAGAGGTGGCTGACGGCCAGCCGCTCAGGCCCTACTCCCCCTTCAGCTACAGCCCGATCTTGCGGGTACGTGCGTCTCGAGAGGTACGGGTACGTGGTTTCTGAGAGGTACGGTCCTTGCAAGCACATGAGTTGCTGAGAGACAGCCACCCGGCAGGTCAAGGGATGACTGGAAATGCCGCAACTTGGTACTTGCACCATCTGAGACGATCTCGAAAAAGTGTATCCTAGAAGCTTACCCGTGACCTACTTACCCAATTGTAATTGTGTTTTATTTTTTATATTACAGTTGTGTAATACCCAATTGTGCCCCCGATGCGAATGGCTCGGCAGCAGCCACGGTCAGCTGCCCACGTGTCGCAGCTGAGGTGAGTCACCATTCGCAGGCTGTGGCGGCGGGCTCCGGAGGGGAGGGCAGGCTCTGCTGATACGAGGGCTCCCGGCAGAGGGTCGACCGGGTCCGACCGTGGGCCCGATCCGGCCTGCCCGGAAGCCAAACCGAGGCCTTTAGGTGAGCTTACTTATCAGTTATGTGGCGCAATGACAGGATAACGTGTGTCTTAGATTGGTGGTTCATCTGCGCTCACTCATTCTTCACCTTTTTGAGAGTTTTGGTGTGTTTCCCATCTTTTATAGCCATCATATAGGTTTTTCTGATTAGTAATCACACCAAGTGTGCTTCTGTCGATGTGTGCATGATAAAGGCGGCACCTTCTCGCAGATGTTTGCCCCGATTCGTCGGTGGATTCCTCTAATACATGCCCCGGCATTTATGTTCCGTTGTTGTTGTGACTATCTGCTCACACTTTCCCATGCAACGGCATCTCATCACACCTCTGCGCCCGACAGGCATTCCGAGTCCGCCCCCGGACAGCCGCGCCAGCCAGCCCAGCGCGGCTGTCCGCCCGCCCGACCCGCCGGCCGTCGTGGCGCCGGTGGCGCCGCCCGTGGCCGCGCCGCGAACCAGCCGACCGGGCACCTGGTCCCGAGCGCCGGGTGGTTACCTGAGCGAGCATTCGGAGCCCCTGGACGATGGCGAGCACAGTCTGCTGGAGGAGGTGGACCGGCACACTGACGCGGACCTGCCGGGCTTGGAAGGTGGGCTCAGCTGGCAGACGCCGGCCACACGTGAAGCGCGAGCAGGCTTGGTGCCCAGCTGCGCTTGTCTGATATAGGGGTCGGTGTGGGGGCGCTTGGTGTGATAACCCGCGTAGTTCACACCTTCGGATCCCACGTGGGGGTCCTAGTACGAGTTCCGGCAGAGCCATGATCTCCGAGCGTCAGCATGACCGCCGCAGTCGCTGGCGCTGCATTAGAGGCCGCCAGACGGGGTGCGTCGCGTTCCCTTAAAACAGAAGTGTGGCGTGCTTCGCGGCATCGAGGCTGCTGTTGGCGCCAACGTAGTGTAGATGCCGCGGGGTTGCAAAGGCCTAATACTTGGATTTTGGAGTTGCAAAACAAAACGGAGCCGCACGATCTACAAACGTTTCCCCCAGATCCACTTGGAGCGAGGAGAACGACGTCCAAGCAATGAACCGCGTCTAATGCAAGTTGGGGCTGTTATAAATGAACGTTCACGTTGCCCATAAGTTACAGCGAGCCCCCATCACGCGCCTGAAGCGAGGGTGTCCCAATCACTTACCAGAGCTAATGACCGCGGCTTCCTCCTCACCAGGAGCCGTGGGCCCTTCGCCTTCGCTGCTGAACATGGACCTCTCGAAGCTACTCGACACCGTTGGTCCGTCCAGACCTCCAGGACGTGCGGCGGCCACGTGAGTGCCAAAAGACAGCCCAGTGCTCCGACCGAAATGCTCCAGAGGTCGGGATCATTCGATGCCCACAGCGTTTTCACTGGTTGCTTTCACCCGGGCTCTGAGAGCGGGGATGCTCCTGCTTGCGCATACGCATCGAGGATAAACAGGTGATGGCATCTGCAACTGCAACATTCGTGCTGCTCTCTTATCTGTTCTTGTTGCACCGCTTGGAGATTTCTGAGGCTGCTGTGCCGTGCATGCATTATTTAAAATTTGAAGATGTTCAAAGATCACTTGCAACTGAGGATCGGTCCAGGCTCAGTCAGTTGCCACAAAGAGTTGAAGATAGCATGCTTTGCTCATAGCCTACCGGCACCGATTACCACTTGTAGAGACGTCGCGTTGTTCTCGACTTCACTCGCCTGGAAAGGTCGACTGGCGGATGTCCAAGGAAAATTAGCCAGCCCGCAGTGAGTGCCGCAGCGCTGTGTGACCCCCCCCCCCCCCCTCCCCCTGCCCTAACCCGTCCCCGCCCAGCCTTGTTCAGCAGTCTGCAGCCAAAATTGTCCTCTGAGCTGGAGCGGCCTAGCTTAGGCGGCGGGTTTAGAGTACTCGTGACGAACTTTGCTAGACGAGTGTTCCGAACCCAGAGTCATCCGTATTCTGTAGCAAATGTTAGAGATGCAGTCAAAACAGAGTTGTTGGAAGCAGACATGTGAGTGGCTCCTACTCTGACCTAGAATTTACCACATTTTGAGACGAGGTGCATTCAGCTCCCTAGAAATGGTATTGGAAGACGCAGCCGTAGTTGGGAGAACCAGCTGGTCAGCTAGCCAATTCGAATTAAACAGGTTTAGCTCGAAACGTGTGTGGTCCGACAGCTGACATGTTCTCGAAGTGGAGCACCGTCGAGTGGAAGTGAACCGTTCACAAAATTATTGTCTTATTTAGACATAACTGAATGGCATGGCACACATCGCCTGCTGAGTGGTTATCATCTGAATCAATTTCAAACCAGTGATGCCTCCATAAGTCAGAACTGAGCCGGAGTCTGATGAAAGTTTCACACACCAGGTCAGGTTCAGAATGGAAATCAACCACACAATGGTAGGAAAAAGGCTTCGCATTCAGTGTCAACAAGTGACTACTATGACTTAAGTACTATCGAGAATAGGGCTTGCAAACAACCTGATTTATGATTCGTTGCACTGTTACAGCGACCCATTAGATGACGTCTTTGAAGCTAGCAGGGACATGGGGCCGCAAGTGCCTGGCGGCAACAGAGAGGTAAGATAGGAACGGATATCCGGCGCTTCTGTCTGGCCAAGCGTGTGGTGTGCTAAAAACTCTCACATTTATCATTTGCATCGTGAGTGCAAATGTGTCGTTCGTTCTCGGTCTCGGTCTCTCCATCTTTCTCGGGCCCTCTGGCCTCTTTCCATCCCTCAATCTTTTCTGATCTATACCCTTTCGCTCCTTTACTCATTTGCTCTTTTGTCCTCGGGATTTGCTGCATACATAGCCACAGTGGCACGTAGCCGCTATCGTTTGTCCATAACAAACACAAATTCCAAACTCTTATGCTGTATGAGTTACTCCCTACAGGTCCTTCGTTCCTTAATGTGCTGGAGAGACGCAGCCCGGGCGGTCCCGAACTTGGTAAAATCAGTTGAGTCGCCTTGTTTCAACTGGTCCCTACCCATACACACTCAATTTTAAGAATTCGTCAAGTCCTTCAAGCCAGATAGTCTCCTGGATGCCGCCGTGCCCATGGTCTTACCCCACCTTCACTAACAGTGGCTGATGTTTCAGTTGCTGGGAGCCATGGCCAGTGAGCCGTGGCCTCGATACCCCTTTGGTGCACAGGGACACACAGGTAATTGAAGCATGTAGAGAAAGAAAGGAAGATAGGTCACAAAAAACAAGCATGGGATGTGGGTCATCTTTCAATTTAAGCCGTATAAAAAGCTCAACAACATAAAATTGTAGTGGCCGGAATCATTTTCCAGGTTATGTCACCTGTCCCCTAGTGCAGCTGTGTACAATTTTGGATTTTAACGATATAATAGGAATCGGTGTCAGAGTCGCTAGCGATGTACAGGAAGGTAAATGCCTCAAGCATCTTAATTTTCCAACTTTTACCAGAGTCGTTTGCTTTTTTGGTGCAATGAATATCGCTAGTGGCTTATCATCTACCACTCGTGCCCTACTTATTGCCACCCAGACGGAGATAACCGACGCGCGGGTGCGGCCGGGGCGCGTCAGCTTCATGCCACGGTCGGTGTAGATGTCGCCCCGATCGTCCCGCCACCTGTACCTGCCGGCGGCCCGATAGCCCTCCCAAGCGGAGATGCTGGAGCCCACGCAGACGCAGTACAGGTGCGTCACACGGGGGCCATGCCAGGCGTCCGCGTATTGTAGAAGTGCCATGCCCTGGGCACCAGAAAATAATCGACACAGAAAAATCTAGCTATGCTGGGTCATTGCGAACAAGGTTTGGTCGAACTAGGTAAAGTAGTAAGGAAAGCTCGTTTGTTCTGAGTCGTATATTTTAAAGCCCTACTACGGTTGCAGCATGTAGTAGGCGGTCACCAATGTGAAAACATTTAGTGAAAGTTTTTCGTGGTTGTACGTACTCGATCTGTTAAAACGACATTCGAATTGTCACGTGCTTCGTGCTATGATACAGGTTGTGCTACTATCGTGCTCACCGGCACGTGGCGGGGAGGATATGTCTCTCGTTTGTTGATTTCGTACGTACGCAACCAGCTACCACACATTTCAGCAACCCAAAAGATGTTTTCTGTCCAACAACACTTGGCCCCTCGCCTGCCTTTTCTCAGGCACCTGGTGACGGCCCGGTGAACTAGTCCTTGTCAGAAGGCGCTTCGCGGGAACAAAGGAATCAACAGCAGGGGGATCAACCACGGCGGAATGTGGGTCAACAGCAAATGGATCGACGACTGTGGGACATGGGTCAGCAACAAGGTGGTCAAAAACCGTGGAGCATGGGTCAACAGCAGGGTGATCAACCACGGCAGAATGTGGGCCAACAACAAGTTGATCGACAACTGTGGGACATGGGTCGGCAGCAGAGTGACCAAAAACTGTGGGACATGGGTCAACAGCAGGGTGATCAACCACGGCAGAATGTGGGTCAACAGCAGGTGGATCAAAAACTTTGGAGCATGTCTCAACAGCAAGGGGATCAACCACGACGGAATGTGGGCCAACAACGTATTGATCGACAACTGTGGGACATGGGTCAGCAGCAGGGGGATCAGCCACGGCAGAATGTGGGTCAACAGCAGGTGGATCAAACACTGTGGGGCATGTCTCAACAGCAAGGGGATCAACCACGACGGAATGTAGATCAACTGCAGAGAGATCTAGGGCAAGGGAATCTGGCCCCCTTCGACCCCCAAAGAGACTCACCAGAAGGGCGTTTAGACCCCCAGCTTAGAACACAAGGAGCCAGTGCTCCGATTCGACCTGGGCCGGCACCGGCGGGTTCCGATCTGGCGCAGTACGTGAACGCCGAGCCATTCTATCCTAAGGCGAGCCGCGCCGCCCCCACCGATGGCGCTAGCCCCGATCAGGCAGCGCCTCTTGCGGCGGTCGCCGCCGCTGGTGCCGGAACTGCACCAACGTACCGCGAGAGGAGACCCCTGTACGATCGTCCACTCGCGGCCGCCGCCGACGCCCCCGCAGAGAGAAGACCGGAAATCGGCGACCACGAATGGAGACCCCTGTACGATCGTCCAGCAGCAGCCGCTGCCGTCGCCCCGGTGGAGAGGGGATCAGCAATCGGCGACCACGAGTGGAGACCCCTGTACGATCGTCCAGCAGCAGCCGCTGTCGCCGCCCCGGCGGAGAGAGGATCAGCAATCGGCGACCACGAATGGAGACCCCTGTACGATCGTCCAGCAGCAGCCGCTGTCGCCGCCCCGGTGGAGAGGGGATCAGCAATCGGCGACCACGAATGGAGGCTACTGTACGATCGTCCAGCAGCCGCCGCCGTCGCCGCCCCGGCGGAGAGGAGACCCATGTACGATCGTGCAGTCGCCGCCGCTGCAGCCGCCACGGAGAGAAGGCCGGAGGTCGCCGAGAGCCGCCCACTGAGGCCCACCGGCGCGGTCCCCCGCCGCAGCCTCCCCGACAACAGGGAGGTGATGGAGGACGTGGCCGTGGTGGCTGCCGTTAGACAGGTTGGAGGTCAGCCTGGTGAGCTGGGCCGCCGGGGAGCGTCTGGCGGACTGAGGGCCGACCCCCAGCAGCCTGTCCCCTGGCTTCAGGGCATGCCTCTGGTGCAGGCCTCTCCAGAGCATCAGGACCGCGCCGAGACAGGTCACCTGGCCGCCTACAGACCTGACCCCAGACACGGTGTCCAGCTGGGGCAGTCTGGACGCTCACCGCAGAAATCGCGTCAACAGAGCCCCCTGGTGCCGGCCGTAGTCCCGCCGCCCCGGCCGTTTGCCCAGCTACCTCAGGCTGGTGCTAGACAGGGCCAGGGCATTCTCCCCCTTCCACTGCCCCCTCAAGGCGGGCCCGTAGCGCAGGGGCAGGGTCTTCTTCCCGCTCCCGTTCTGGTGCAGCCGCCGGGCCTGCTTTGGCCAGCGAGGAATAATATGAACATGGCACTCGCCGGGATGAACCTGACTGGCCCGAGACCTCGTCCCCCTCGATTTCCTCCCCCGTGATAGCGCCTCTGAGAATGGAACCAGCAACCGGGCAGTCGATACAGGGTTTTAGCTCAGAGACCTGCGGTACATTATCTTGCAGATGCGTGGGGTCTGTCTTAATGTGGCGGAGTTTTTGGACTTGTACAGAGTATGTGTATTGTACATTGTGTGCCGTTCGTGCCCCCCACCGTCCGTGCCCTCCTCAGATGTGCCCTCCGTTTGATGGCGTGACCAGTTATGCTGACTCGCAGCGCTGTTGTGTCGAACATTAATGTGTGCCGATTTACAAGCTCTCAATAAAATGAAAATAAATTGTTTCACTTTTGCACTGCATTGCGGATAACGCAAAGCTCTGACGAACCAGAATGCCTCCTTGATTAGAATAACTCAAGAATGTCTGACTGACCACATTGCAAGACCCTCAGTGCGCTTTTGTTCGAGTGAGCATAATATTTGGTATGACCATACCACTGTACGTGCGTACGGGATGCTGTGCTGTGTGATGTGCTGATGCGAAACCAACCCACATGGTGCGGAGCGACACATCAGCTGCGACATATCACATCCCGAGCGACATATCACATTCATGTGATAGCGAGCGATATATCACATTTATATCACAGCGAGCGACATATCACATCCCTCCATGAAGTTCAGGAAACGAGGATGGAAACACGGGATGTTGACATGGCGACGTTGTGAAGATAAATAATAATACACCTGTGTGAGACTTGTAAACACATCCACCCAAATTCTAAGGCATTTGTAGTGAAGATGTGAGTAGAGCATGTTTCTGATTTAGTTTTCAGAAGGTGCGCGTGTACAATATGATTGTAAACCACACCATCCCCATCACCCCCACCAGCACCCTATAAACTTCTTCCGGGTAGCCCTCCCATGGTTTCCCTACAAGCCATCAGCGGCCACCACGCGCCACATTGCAAATAAATCGCACTGTTTTGTTGTCGAGCGTTTATTGCATGCCGGGGTCTTCTGATACGACTTCAAAGCGTATCGCGCAATGGGAGCACGTGCGCCGAATAGCATGCACGAACACGGCACGGACTTTAAAAACGAAGTAATTGTGTGTCGACATGAATGTGAGGACAAATTGACGGGTGGACAAGACCTTTGAACTTTTGATCAATGAGTAAAGTTTAGTTCAAGCCAATGTAACACTGGTCAAACACCGGGATGAATCATTGATCAAAATATTGCACACTGTGCGAAGGCGCTCTTGCCGCAACTCAACGGTTTTCTGATGCAGGAACTGCTTCCAGTGCATCCGAAAGAAAACTTTCATCGAGGGGGGCAATCCCAAAATTAGCATCCGGAATGGTTTTCCCGATGAACTCATGTACAGTATCACAACTTCGCATCAAATTTTGGCCGCCTTATTTTCCTTTTATTTATTATTTATATTTATATATTATATTTATTTTTATTTTTCCTTCCTTATTTTCCAGGCTTTTGATTAGGGAATTTATGAGAACGAATGTAAAAAGGAGTACATATGAGTCTAAAAGAGCTAACGGAAACTGTTACAGTAGCTAACGATGACGGAAGCTTCCAACTTGATTTGAATCAGCATTGTGGTTCTTTGATGCGCAGTATGCATGGCTTAAGTTCTTGAAGCTCGCCTGGATTTCGAGATTGAGACTCTTAGAAATTGAAATGATGAATGGTTCGTCTCCTTCGCTACATGAAGTAACTGCCGAGAGCTACCGCAACATGGGGGAGTTTTTCCGTCAACAGCGATCTTCATAAAAAAGTACAGCACGATCCATGTGACCTGTCTGAAACCCAGCTTAGTGCAGTTTCCTGTGTAAACCACTCTCGAAAGATAATGCTACCATACACGATAGACGAGGAAGTGAAGACAGCTGAATGTTTGGGGAAGGAAAAGCTGTCGCCATGAAGCAGAGCGACACTTTAAACTCATTTTCACATAAATCTGAAGACAGCTTAGAACGAGAAATGCGCCGTCAAAAAACATAACTTATCGTTATATACAGACGCTTATCGCTGAGAACAGCCACGAAAATCTCAGTCATTAAGTCAGCTAAGGAAACCAGACAAAAGACCCCGACTAAAATTGCAAGAGCGAGAAAGGTTTTGCCGAGGAGCCCTTGTCAAGACATGAGCTCAGTCTGTTCACCTGGTGCACCACTAGCAGCCGAGGCGGCAACAGTCCCTCTTGGTCTCTGGGCAGCCGAGCGGCTGCAGTGACCGCGATGACTGAACGGTACTTGGTGGTCCCTTGCAAGTTCTGGGCGGCTTTGGACAACGTCAGCGTCGAAGGCATGTTGTGCCAGTGAATTCAGCGGGATGGATGATGTCGCACATGGTGAAGGAGACGAGACAGCGACTTAGAGGGGGGTTTGGGCTAGGACTTTTTCCACTGGGGTGGCCGAGAACCTGGCCCGCACATTCCCTCCATTCGTGTCCCACATATATCTCCCTGCCGGGGGGGGGGGGGGGGGGGATATCTCAGTTGCAGATGTGCTCAAAGACCTTGGAAGTTACCGTGTACCTAAAAAGCTTTTAAAAATTTATGTGGAAACCAAAAATTCAAACATGTGCCATGCCGTCAATTAAGCGGCGAAAGTTTGGACGGTACCATGCCCGGAGAGACGCGGATGCCACATGGGGCACGAGCAGCATTGTCCGGGCTATGAGGGTCACAGAGAGCCAAGTGATCAGATGAAGAACACTGAATACTCTTTTCATCATAGTATCAGTTACGTTACAACGCAATAAATATCTGGGATGTGAATGACTTCAATCCGTCCGCCTTTTGTAGAGCGCCCTACACCGTTCCCGACTTGCCAAACTGTGTGGTAATACCAGCCGCACCTTGAGATCAGCTTCTTCTTTCGTCACACCACGGCGCTGGAGCATTGCAGCTGAGCCAAGTCTCATGTAGTTAAGCTGCGGATTAAGAGCTCGGCGTGCTTGGGTGATTTTGGCACGTGACTTGAGACTTTTTGTAGTGAACTGAACCATAGGCGTAGGAACATTCCAAAAAGTGGGGGGGGGGGCAAGCTCAGGGCGTACTTCAGGAACTTTTTTTCTGGAAAACAAGCCTGATGACTGGGAGCGGGGGGTAGAGATGGAGGTTAATGGAAGGATATATCAGATCACATTGTTTCCCTTCCTGACACGGGAGGGCTTCTGACCCGCGCAGTCGGCCTCGAATCAGCACAGAAGCCCTCATTGATGCAACAACATCACTGATCGCCAAAGATGGTCCAATAATTGGTCCACAGGCTCCAGTTCCGTGTTTTTCTGTTGTCTTCAGAGATATTGAGGAATCCCTGAACGCAGATTGCAGATGAAATTAAGTCCTAACCTTGTATTAACATGGCTAATCCATGTACGTCTTAAAATGCTCAAGATTCAGTCAGAATTGATTGCTGATAAAAACTATGTAATATGGTTTTGAACATGCATGCTCGCAAAGCAACCACAGCCTGGACGCCCGGCGTTGCAGTCTCCATAGGCCGCGTGGCGTTGGCCTGTGGCTGTGATACTAAGCGATGGCCAATCGGCAAATGAAAAAGATGACGCATCTTGAGGAAGATGGCTGGTGAACTACGCAAATCGGCATGCATATTTAAATGTGGTGCAAATGTAAACTAAACGCAACCTTAATCTGAAAGGTGTGGGGGGGGGGGGCAGTTAACACTACTGCCCCCCACCTTGAAAAGTGGCGGACAATGCTCCCCCTGGCCCCCTCCCTCTTTCTACACCCATTAACTGAACGCTTAAAGTGCAGCCATTGGTTTTCCAGTGCCGTGCCCTTGTTTCATTGGCAATATGTTGTTTCCCTAGACCACAAGCTGTATTCTTGAGAACGTTTGTATCTCAGCCAGCCTCGGCAGTCTGATTAGTGGTCAAGATCTGTACAGCCTGTACCTGGATAGGACTAGCCACCTCAGTTCAGTAACCGCACTCGCTGAGAGATTACACATATGTAGCAGGGGTACCAATGGTGTAGCGATTCAGCTGTGCGCCCGGAAAACCAAGGGTACGGGGTTTGCAACTTTAATTCCGCAGAGTACTCCCCCCCCCCCCTTGCCAGGGTGAGAGGCAGGCAACGCCACACATATCAGCAGGCAGATACTGCGTAACACTCCAATCAAACAGTCAAACTTGTCATGTCACTTCATGAAGCATGTCATGAAAGCACTGGAGCATTAATTCCCTATCTGAACTGGATCAGGCTAACCCAACTTGCCGTGGCAATTCAGTAGACTGACATAAGACATCTATCCAGACATCCGTTAACATGATTGATTTTGAAGCGAAGGACCGTTATGACTACATCTGAAATACTTCCATCTTGCAGCTACGTTCGAAATGTACGCTCAAACATGTGCTGGCCTGGATGATGATGGTTTTAAAAGACAGATGCCGTTGCAGGCATAATTGGCGAAATAAGGGAGAAGGGGAAACCATTGACAGGTCACGAAATCATCAAAGAAAGAGAGACATCTGAGCTCTTGTGGATGTAAGTGGTTGAAGCGCCCCCCCCCCCCCATTCATGTCAGAGCCCCCACATACCACAACCATAGAACCTGGGCGCATACTGACCCTCAGCCGACCACGCCCTGGATCCGTATCCCAGCCGCGTACGTAAACAGGGTGAATGTGGCCGTTGCCCGATGACCACCAGGTGTGGGGACGAAGCTGGCTTCAGCGACGGCTTCACCCTCGTGAAGTCACAGTTTCCCGCATTGGCTCAGAGCTTGGCTTCCGCTTTGAGCCATTTTCTTCGGCCGGATTCGCCCGTTGAATTTGGCTTTAGCCTCGGGTTCAACTTCAGCCTAGAGCAATTCTTGAATAATAGCTCCAGATTCGGCGTCATGCTATCTTGAACTGTCGGCTTCGGCTTTGTTATGGTAACATTTGCACTGCAGTTGCATCTTAACGACACAAAAACGTTGTTGTGCGTAATATTGAGCCTTCAGTCTACCGGGAATCAAACTAAAACGGCGTAATTCGGCCAACTGTGGTACTTGTATCATGCTTTTCCTAAATGGATTTGCCACAAGTGCTTGCGCGCTTGGTTCGCTAAGCGATGAAGCGCCTATGGACGATTTATGCTTGCATTATTTCGGAATGCATCTAACAACATTCATGGGATTTCCTGGCCGACAGGAAATCTAGCTGCCGGGATGAGTAATGGGAGCAGGGCATGATATGCTGACTACCAGGGACGTTCAAATTTTGCTCTCCAGATTTCCACTGCGTTTGGAGCATTGTTTTGCGTTCCAAAATTTCAAGAAAACCGCTCTGGCTACTACTGTCATATCTCCCTAATCTTGCCACTGCCAGTAATCAGTAATGCTG